CAGCTCACACAGTTATTTCTCAATGGCTGGAAGAATGCAGTCAGAGAGAAGAAGAAATGATTGCTTTTACAGCCTTTATCACCCTCCACAAGTAGTAGTGTCACCATGGTGATACTGTACTGCTAGGGTGACAGTATGTAAAAAAAACAAAAAAAACCTAAATAATCTAAAAAATTTAAATAAAAATGTAAAAAATTATAATTTTTGGATGTAAACTAATTTGGGTTACATTTCAGTTAGCATGTTCAATACTTTTTCCCTGTGTCATTCCAATTTTTTACCTGTAACAAGTTTTGAACTTATGTATGGATTGCAAGGCTTGTTACCAACGTGAAAATTTCATGCCAACAGCACCTTTAGAAATATATCAACTGAGAAAATGGTCACTTGTTCAATCCTTATTTTACCCGCTATATATATTTTTTCACTTTTGTGCCAGTTTTCCTTTGATAATGTAAAAGAAACAAAAATCAGCAGATATCCATTACCATTTCCCACTGAAAGTCCAATTTGTGCAAAAAAAAAAAAAGTATAATTCATCTGAATACAGTAAATAATTGCAATATGTACAATTTTGACGTGTTTAAAACTGTACAAACTGTTCAGGCATTAAGATTTGTTTTACCCCGGCATGAAGGGGTTAACCCAAGGACATTACCAAGGATGCCAAATTCCATGTAACAGACCACCTGTAAGCTCTCTGAAGATTTGTGAGATAAAATCATATGCATTGACAAGTGGAGGATATTGGGCAATCATGCTTACAAAAAAAAAGTAAGCTATTGCGATATTTGTATAAAGAGGGTGACAGGTCCACTTTACAGGTGTACATGTGCAGTGGATTTTTGGGGCCAGACTGTGACTGTTGTATGGGGCTTGTGGGTTAATAGACAGAAGAGGCGCATCTGCTGCTTTGGGAGTGTTGGCTCTGTGAGGGTTTGCAGTAATTGTTTGAAGCAGCACAGACAGGTTGTGCCATAACAGAAGACACGTTTCCTGACCATTGATTGCATGACCACTTACCTGGAAGATGTTATGTTGGATGTTAGCGCTCGTAAGAAGAATCATAAGTTTTCAAGTCCAAGATCTATTGGATCACAAAGTTACTTCCCTCAAAATATGAGGTGTGACAATTTAATTTCCAGAATGCAAGCAGTGTATTACTATGGTGGTTCTAACTTGCATTAGCCTGGGCCACAAACCCATTGACTCAGTCTTTACAGAGTAGAAGAAGAAATAAAACATGTACACTGTACTGTTGGCAGAAAATGAGTGACAGGAATCTGGAGTGAAAATTGGCAAAAATGTGAGTGAAACTTTAACTCTGTTTCAACAGTCTTATGATGAGCAAGCAGGCACCCAAAAGAACAAAGGTCGGAAACAAATGTGGACAGACTGGAAACCCTCATACACTCAGATTTAATGTGCAAATGATGGCAGAAGAATTGAACATGAACAAGAAACCAGTGCTGAGGATGCTAATGGAGAATATGGGAATGAGAGATCGTGCCTTGAATCTTGACAGATCAGAAAGAATGTTGTCTTCAAATTTCATCTGTTCTTTTGAAGAACGCAGGAGGTAATTGATATGGTTATTACCGGTAATGAAATATGGTGTTTCTAATATGATCCAGAAAACAAAACCGCCAGAGCATGCAGTAGAAAACAAAATTCCCCTCGCCTGATGAAAGCATGCATGTCTCATTCACAGTTGAAAACCGTGCTGGTGTGTGGGTTTTTTTTTTCTTCACATGGTGATAGCTCACTACAAGTTCATAGAACATACAGTACAACAGTCAAGAAACAATGGGATTTATTTACTAAAGCTGGTTCACTCAGAATCTTGTGCATATATGCATAGTACCCAATCAGCTTCCAACCTCAGCATGTTCAGTTAAGCTTTAGCAATAAAACCTGTAAGCGGATTGGTTTCTATGCATAAGTGCACAAGATTCTGAGTGGACCAGCCTTACTAAATAAACCCCATTGTTACTTAGAAATTCTGAAATGGTTTGTGGAATCTGTTCAGAGGAAAGGATTGGAACTCTGGTCTGACCTGATTCTCTACCACGACAATGCTCCTACACATGATGCGTTGACCCAACAACCAGATATACTGACAGGAAGATTCAATGAACTACTACGGCGCTCCACAGCTCTAAGGTAGTTCAATGAAAACTACAAGCAAACAGCTGCTTAGACTGTCGGGACATGTATTTCATTCATTCACAGAGCACTGTGAATGAATGAAGTGGCCATGTGGACAGAGTCCTGCACGGCCACGCTGTTTTTAAAAAGTGACAGCTAGTACAGGGAACTTCTCCCTGTACGTCTGTCACAGGGAGGAGGGATCAGACAGCAGCTGCAGCATTTGGAACGTTACATATTCCACCCTAAAAATGGGTGGAACATGTAGCATGTTCCCAAAGGTGAACTTATCCTTTAAAAAGGAACTACACTGCATCGAAGCAGCACAAACCAAAAACAAAACACTTTGAAAAACACCTCTCCAGCATTCATGGCCACGGTCATCTTGAATAAGGGCAGATTCAATTACTTCCTGGAATTTGCAATCCAAATCCCTCCTCCCCTCCTGAAGACTCCTGGAATGTATGACATCATTTGCCTAGGCATTGAAACCAGGAAGTAACTGAAAAAATTTAAAATAAAAAAAGTTTAAATATAATTTACTTTCCTATTTACCAATGCTAAAGATTAAAGCGATACTAAAAGGTTCATTTTTGGGGAAAATAACAAAACAGGTTATTGTGTCCATTCACGCACGGAGCAGCGGCTTGGCCCCATCCCCTCTCTCCCCTCTTTGGCTGACTGGCTGTGATTGACAGCAGCAGGAGCCAATGGCTCCTGCTTGCTGTCTCAGCCAATGAGGATGCAGAGACCCAGGACAGTCAAAGCGGTCGTGCACATCGCTGGAGCGCGATGGGGCTCAGATAAGTATTGAGAGGGCTCGGGGCACTGCGGCAAACAGGTTTTTTTACCTTCATGCATGAAGGTAATAAAACCTTGAGCTTTTACAACCACTTTAAAAATAGTCAATGTTGACTGAGATAATGAAGTTCCACTTTAAGCAAAATAAAATCAATACATGTATGAACCCGTTTGTAAATGCTATTTAGCCTGTACCCAGGCGATATAAGCTAAATAATTATGTGACCTCCTTATGTATAAACATACATGTGCAATACAAAGAACAATATAGTAAATCAACAATAAACAACCTCACTACTGAGTGCAACTCCTACACCTGCTGATAATGACCTTTGCTGCACTCCCTTTGTTGCTTCTTTCACTGTTGGAGCCTTTTCTAAAATATCTAGCACTTTTCCCAGGAAGCAGTGTTTGGGCCTGAGAAACCTACTGCATGTCCAAAACAGTTGTCGCATGAGGAGCATGCGCATGTAAAAGGAGTAAAAAAAGTATGATTTTTCAGTCCTGGAGTATTGAGAAAAAGAGCACGTAAAAGGGTAAGCAGCATTTTTAAAATATATCTTCTGCTATATGATAAGAAAAGGTGTAAAAAAAAAAAAAAACACAACACTTTAAAAGTGGGTGCTATCCCAATTCAGCTGTAAAAGTGGACACAACTATGTATTGGGCCTAAAAGTCACATTAGAATGTGTAAAAAAAAAAAGCCTCCCCAGCAGCAAAAGGGTTAACAGGATTGTTTCCTCTGTTATTAGAGACCAACTCTAAGCTGTATTTTTTGTGGAGGCTTACAGTGCCTTGAAAAAGTATTCATACTCCTTGAAATTTTCGACATTTTGTCATGTTACAGCCAAAAATGTAAGTATTTTATTGGGATTTTATGTGATAGACCAACACAAAGTGGCACATAATTGTGAAGTTGAAGGAAAATGATAAATGATTATAATTTTTTACAAATAAATATCAGTAAAGTGTGGCGTTCATCAATCAATACTTTGTAGAACCATCTTTCGCTGTAATTACAGATGCAAGTCTTTTTGGGGATGTCTCTACCAGCTTTGCACATCTAGAGAGTGACATTTTTGCCCATTCTTCTTTGCAAAATAACTCAATTCTGTCAGCTTGGATGGAGAATGTCTGTGAACAGCAATTTTCAAGTCTTGCCACAGATTCTCAATTGGATTTAGGTCTGGACTTTTACTGGGCCATTCTAACACATGAATATGCTTTATCTAAACCAGCCTCTCAACCTTTTCAATGCAGGAACCCTTGACATAACTTTCCAGTCTCAGGGAACCCCAGCTAAAATGACTTTATATACAATTCAGGATACATTAGTGTGATAGTCAGAGACAAGAATGCTCCTTACACTTGTGGTCATTGGGAAGAATAATCCCCTTACAAATTTCTAAAAAGATCAATGGTCTCAGTGGGAACTTACCTGAGAGGCAGAAACTGCTCAAGTAACCCCTCAACTTCTGGAGGAACCAGAGTTGAGAAACCCTGATCTAAACCATTCCATTGTAGCTCTCGCTGTATGTTTAGGGTCATTGTCCTGCTGGAAGGCGAAGCATGTAATCTAAGTAAATACAAATAGGTCTGAATACAAATGCACGCCCCACTTTTCAGATATTTGTAAGAGACTTAGGAAACCATTTATCATTTTCTTTTCACCTGACAATTATGTGCCACTTTGTGCTGGTCTATCACATAAATTACATTTAAGTTTTTGGTTGTAACATGACAAAATCTGGAAAATTTCAAGGGGTATGAATACTTTTTCAAGGCACTGCAAGTACTCAGATTTTTTTTTCCCCTATTAAAAAAATATATAAAAGAATGTTTTCAAAATCTATAACAACCTACTGTTCATTTTCAATAAGCATACACAGTATGTATCTAGGCAATTAAAAGAGAACATTTATTAACCACTATTTTTATAAGTCACAAAAGGTAAATATGCAAGGATAAAACATCTTTAGAATTCCTAAATTTTGCTACTTTGTAAAACAGGTTTAAAAGTTTTTATTTTAATATCCTGGAAGATGACAGATTTATTGGCATTCCACTTTCTCCGTGTAAATTTTTGATGCCCACTTACAATTCACCACTATGAAGTGGCACGTTTTAGCCTGCAAGACAGAGAAAATTGCTGCTTAATACATGAATATCTGTTTGATTGTATATTTTATGAACATTTACTGTATACTGCGCGTTCAAAAAAAAAAAAAAAAAAAAAGTAAGTAGGAGCAATTGAAAAACACTAAATATAACCAATACAACATATTATGCACTGTTGTGGCAAATTTGATGTTCATCAATTAACCTGTTTTTTTTTTCTAGAAAGGCTACTTTTTTCTAGATCTAAAAGAAGCCTGACACTATGTGCAACACCTACAATTTTGTTCTGATTTTAATAAGTTTATTTTGATTGTCTGCACAACCCATACAAGATCAGAGCAGAGACAGCACTACATCTTGGTCACTGACCATTTTATCCTGACTCAAACACCCTCCCAGATAGGAGTTTTAGTGCTTTTTTTCTAAATAAAGGCATGATCAGCCCATAAAAAAAAAAAAAAAAAAGGAATTTGGATTTACATGTAGATTCCATATCTTGGAGTACAATACAGGACACAGGCTGCATAATCATGGTCCCTGGGTTAAAACCTGCTACCTCCAGGTGATTGGACACGCCCCCTGGGAGTACCCCTATAACCCAACCTTGCTTCATGAGACCTGTTTTTTTTTAACCACTTGCCTACTGTGAACATTTACCTCCTTCCTGCCCAGGCCAATTTTCAGCTTTCAGTGCGGTCACACTTTGAATGACAATTGTGTGGTCATTATTATACAGGATTTATATAGCGCCAACAGTTTGCGCAGCGCTATACAATATAAGGGAGACAGTACAATTACAATTCATTTCAGTACAGAAGGAATGTGAGGGCCCAGCTCGTGGAGCTTACAATCTAAAGGAAGGGAGAGGTGATACAAAAGTTGACAGCTGGGGGGGGGGGGGGATGATCTGGTGGAGGTGATTCAAGTACAGTTCTTAGGTGGAGGTGGGGCAGACTTCCCTGAAGAAGTGAGTTTTCAAAGATCGCCTAAAGGCAGACAGGGTAGGGGCTGACCGGACATGCTGTGGTAGGGGAGGATGGGAGAGGCTCTGGAGAAGTCCTGGCGGCGAGCATGGGAGGAGGTGATGAGGGAGCTAGAGAGGAAGATATCTTGGGAGGAGCGGAGTGAGCGATATCTGCGGATGAGGTTGGCGATGTAACTAGGGGCAGTGTTGGGGATGGCTTTGTATGCTGTGGTTAGTATTTTGAATTTTATACACTGGATTAGTGGAAGCCAGTGAAGGGATTAGCAGAGAGGGGCAGCAGTCACTAATCGGTTGGTAAGGTGAAAGTCTAGCAGCAGCATTCACAATAGACTGAAGGGGGGATAGCCTGTGTAACGGCACACCAGTGAGGAGGGAGTTGCAGTAATTGAGGCGGAATATAACCAAGGCATGGATAAGTTGTTTTGTGGTGTCATTGGTCAGGAAGGGGCGGATTTTGGAAATGTTCCGGAGGTTGAGGGGGCAGGATTTAGCCAGTGAGTGGATGTGGGGCCCAAAGGAGAGGTCAGAGTCTAGGATTATGCCTAGCACCCTGGCATGAGGGGAAGGACCAATGGTTGTGCTGTTGATCTTAATGGTAAAGTCATCAGTGGGGGATCGGGGAGGAGGAAATATTACAAGCTCAGTTTTGGAAAGATTGGGTTTAAGGTAGTGATGTGACATCCATGCTGATATGTCGCTTAGTAGATTTGTGATACGTGAGGAGATTGAGGGGGTGAGCTGGGGAGTGGAGAGATAGATCAGGGTGTCATCAGCATAGAAGTGGTATTGGAAGCCATGGGAGGTCATCAGTTGGCCCAGGGAGGAGGTATAGAGAAAGAAAAGGAGGGGTCCAAGGACAGAACCTTGGGGTACCCCAACAGGAAGAGCAGCGAAGGAGGAGAAGTTGTGACACTGAAAGTGCACTGAGAAAGGTAAGAGGAGAACCAGGAGAGAGCAGAGTCATGGAGGCCGATGGAGTGGAGTTTACGGAGGAGGATCGGGTGGTCGACTGTCTCAAAGGCAGCGGAAAGGTCAAGGAGGATTATGGAGTAATGGCCGTTGGTTTTAGCAGCTAGTAGGTCATTAGTGGGTTTTAGTAGGGCAGTTTCTGTGGAATGTTGTGGGCGGAAGCCAGACTGTCGGGGATCAAGAAAGTTGTTGTCGGTGAGGTAGCAGTGCATACGGTTGTGAACAAGGAGCTCGAGAAGCTTGGAGGCAAATGGGGGTAACCAGTGCACGTTCATTTTGACACAAATAGAGCTTACTTTTGGTGGTATTTAATCAGCACTGAGGTTTTTATTTTTTGCTAAACAAAAAAAAAAAAAAAAAAATTTTGAAAAAAAAGTTTAGTTTCTGTTAAGTTTTGTAAAGTGATTTTTCTCCTTCACAGATGTGACTGCACTGATAAGCATTGACAGGTGGCACGGACAGGCATTACCAATGGGCACTAACAGGTATCACTGAGGAGGCACTGGTAGCCAGCACAGATGGGCACTACTGGCCGCACTGATGGGGCTACACCAATCATTAGTGCCCTGATGAACAGTGTAGATGTTCCCCTAAGAAATGCCACTTACCGTCTCTCCTCTGTTCACGCACTGTGAACGTGAGGAGAGGACTGCCGATAACTGGCATTTCCTGTTTACATGTGATTAGACAAAGCTGGTCACATGTAAAAGGCGTCTGATTGGCCCCCTATTTGGACACGTGATCAGCTGTGTCTGAATGACACAGTGAACACAGATTTCGCACGGCGCCTGGGGCATGCAAGGCGTGTGGTTCTGGGAGACCCTCCCAGAACTAGCCGACCGAGCTGTAGCTGTCTTTTGGCTATAGCACAGTCAGGAAGTGGTTAATAAGCAATGAAGAGAATCACAGGAACAGAAAGGAGGTTGCCTGTGCCCTGTATCATACGCCAAGGTATGTAACGTACAGGTAAGTCCATCAAAATTCCTTTTATCTTAATCGCACAGTACAGGACACTGGCTAACACAAGGCAAACAAACCATGCCAAAAGGCCCAACAAAACAGACAAGGGTCAAAAACAGCTCAGAGTGTGGCTCAAAGAACCTTACAACCAAAAGCTGCATCTGCAGAAGCCTGAACATCCACCTAGCAAAACTCAGACAAGGTGTGAGCTGAATACACAGTGGCAGCCTTATAAAGCTGAGCAAGTGTCAGAATGCCCAGGGATCTCCCACTGACCTGGTGCAATGAGCATGTAAAAGGTACTGGAAGTACAATGAGTTGTCTTATCCATCTAGCAATAGTGAACTTGCAAGTAGTGTGTCCCTTTTGAGACACTTTTGGCAAGACAGTCAACTTTCTGGATAGAGAATGTGGCTTTCAGATAGCTCTAACCACATCCAAACAATGGAGAGAAATTCTTTTGAGTTGATTAGGAGCAAGGCACAAAGAAGGAAGGGCAAAGTATTCATTAAAAAAGCGCAGCTAAAGCTATTTGGCTATATTTCTCTGGTAGGCCATGGGAGTGCAGTTCGTTCTGCACTCCTGTGACCGGTTTTAGCCCATGGTCGACTAACTTCACAGAGCTGGTCCAGGCTCTGAAAAGGTCCTGACCATATGGTCGGGATCCACCAAGAAGCCTGGACCTGCAAATGGTTAAGCCATTCAGTGATCTGCCGAGAGCCTGAGCCAGCCCCTTCCACAGCCCAGCACTCTAGTGAGCACTGGAGGGGCAGCGCAGATAGCCAGAGAATGAGTCATGTTTTTTTGCACAGAGCGGAGAACTGAGCGATCAGTCGCGTTTGATCACTCAGTTCTCACTGCAGAGCTGATGTGGGACAGGCAAGTACAAAATGTCCATATCCCTCTTTTAAGGTGGAAAGCGAATTCTACTTAAGCTAGCAAGAAGGGTCTTGGACACAAGACCACTTTATTCTTATGAAAAATTAGGAAGGTCTCCTTACAAAAGAGAGCCTCAAACTCTGACAGACATGATCGACAACAAGTAGGCCACTGTGCAGGAGAAAATCACCCAATGGGAGTTTCCTAATGGGCTCAAAGGGTGAGAAAGAACTAAACTGAGATCCAAAAGAAGCTCAGGGTTCTGTAATCAGGGTCTGATCCATGAGACCCCTTGAATTAAGGTTTTAACTAGTGATATAAAAGTTGAAAAGGTTGAAACCTGTCCCTTTGGAATACTTACAGCCAAATTCTGGTCAAGTACCACTTGCAGAAAAGCCAGAATTCAATGTCACTGGAGCAGTCTACTGCAGTCACGTTCAGCTTCCAGGGAGGACTGGCAAGGTATGGCATACGCATAGTTACAAGCTGGTCAAATGTAAATATATTTTATTCACACTGGAGTTCTACTTCAACCTGAATGGAAGCCATGGAAGTATCAGAGCATCCAATGCAAGTGCTAGAGGGTCCTTGATCCTAGCCACAAACGGTAACTAACTGTTGAACTGGGAGGCCAGGATGTCTACAGCTAGACTCCCTCATTTTTGATATAGGAGTTTGAAGACGTTGCAATAAAAAGGAAGGGATGAAGGGACCATTCCCCTAGATCCAGGCAGAGACAGTTGAGGTAATCTGCCTTCCAATTTTCCACAACCTGGATGTGAACACTAGAGATTGCTGGACAGCATTTTTCCACTCAGGAGAATGATCAGACTTCCATCCATCAAGGCTGTGTGACTCCACGTATCTATTGTTCAATTGCACCCTGATGGGGTGTCCCTAAAGAAGGGGGATTGAATAGGATAAATTATTCCCCCCGTCCCCAAATTAGGTTTTGGATTCAAAGGCAAGTCTAAATCTGACTGTCCTTAGACAGATTTTGCCTGGTTTGAGTGAAGAAAATGGTGATAGGGATAGAGTTTAAAAATCTTTAGTTCCCATTTGAAACCTCTGATTGAACTGATAGGTCTGGGACCCAGAGAAATGAAATCTAATAGAAGTACCCCAACTTTTTTGGAGGCAGATTTGGTGGGTTTTGGGTTCCAAGTCCTGTGTCCAAAAAAGGCTGAATTCTGGCTTTGAAGATGAAGCCTGACGACAGCGAAGGGGTGCTCTACATTTTGAGGAAGAAGCAGCCCCTGAAGAGGGGGATTTGGAGCCTCCTGCTGTTGAAGAAGCCTTGCCTTGCCTCCTGCAACATCCTTTATGAACTTCTCAAGTGTATCACCAAAGAGACCTCCTCCTTTGAACAACATATGAGAGATGTGTCTTTTACAGGCAGTTTCAGCTGACCAGTCTTTTAGCCATAAGATTCTCTGTATATGGACAGAAATTAATGCCATTCTGGAAAGTTCAGCTTCCAAATCAGGTTCAGACTCTGGAAAGGGATGGCTGTATTAAAGCAAATAGTTGTCTGAGAAATTCTGATTGTTGAAAAAGCTGCCTTGGTCAGGGAGGCTGCTTGTTGAGTGCTTGAGACAGGGGTATAACCAGACACAGAGGCCAGTGTTAGAAGACAGTCCTGCTCCAATGCAGGAGAAGCATCATCACTCCGACCAGTTTCAGTTCTTTGCAACCCATCTGTCATCTTGTGCCAGTTTTCTGCTACCACTATAAATGAGGATATTCCTCTTTGGAGTACTCATGAAGTAGGATATGAAAAAAATGGGGCAAGCATGCCTGAGAAAGATACAAAGCACATCATGCGTTGACCGCCCTATGGCAAAATCCTTGTGGCATAAGTGTGGGGACAAAGTACCCGAGTACCTCATAAAAGCTCTTGGCAGACATGGTGGTATTAGTGTGACCTGTGGTGTGCTGTAACAACTAGTCATACACCTGAGACTAAGCTGTGAATGGAGGAATTTTTAATGCCAAGTCTAAAAGTCTAAGCCCTCCATTGGGAAGTCAAACATTCCCAGTTTCCTGAGTTATTATTATTATAATGCAGGATTTATATAGCGCCAACAGTTTGCTCGGCGCTCTACAATATAACGGGAGACAATACAGCAACAATACAGTTTTAAGGTAACCCTGACTACTTTTCAAACTGTTCCCTACCCACTCCCAGCACCTATGCTTACTAACCTGTGTAAGAAAGCTGCATATACATACCTATTTTCAGGCCACTCTAGTCATGTGATATGATCCAACTCACCCCCCCCCCCCCCCCCTCCCCGTGAGCCAGTGCAGCTGCAAAGAAGAGGGAGCATTGACAATGAATGGGTCATTGGTGACATCACCAATTCAGGCTTTACTATACATTGTCGGAACACTCTCTCCTCTCAACAGCAGTGCTGCTGCACACACAGGGGAGATCATGTAACTGGACTGGAGCAGGCTGAAAATAGACAGTATACAGATCTTCCCAAGATTAGTAAGCACAAGTTATAAGAGGGGGTAGGGGACAGTTTTAAGAATGGTTATTTAAAGCCTTTTGACATCGCCGATTCCTATATGTGTCCAGGTTTTGCAGGTTACAGTGAGCATACCCCTGGAAGGGTCTTCAGGGTCTAGGAACCATACTAATGGACAACAGCCCTTTGCATTTAGTGCAAAGGTGAGCATCCAAGTAGGATCCAGTGCCCAAAGCAACATTACAGGGAACCCCTACAGCATGGGGTCCAGGTACAGTTTCCAATTTATTATGAGGCTACCCCAATCCAGATGAAATGGTTCAATTGCTAGAGGAAGAAGTGAAGACTTGATTGAAGAATTTGAAGTAAATAAAAACTGGTTAAGTATAGAGACTTCCCTATAACGGGAAAAAGGGACCTATCACCTAAAGACTAGCAAAAAAAAAAAAAAAAAAAAAAAAATGGGGTCTCAAAGTGGGGTAGGTGTATAGGGGGAAGCCAGTGGCCATGTCAAAAAAGCTTTGCCAGTGTTCAACCACCTGAAAGTTGCAGTCTATAACCCAGGATCTATGATTATTCAGCCTGTGTCCTGTACTGTATGATAAAGATAAATGCTTAGCCAAATGAACATATAAAGTCTTATGTAACATGTACAAGGTAATTCCTCATCAGCGCACAATACCTTAGCAAGAGAGGGTTCTTCATGGAATGGACACTCGTTAATAGCAGTGGTTGTTTTTTTGCATACTGTTCGGCGAATTTCCACGTTCATGTCATATTTCAATCCATTTACCAGCTAAAAGAACAGAAAATGTAGATGTCAGCTTTATCATATCATACATCAGACAACTGAATAAATCAGATAACATAAGTGTCTTATGACAAACTGTATCTAAGGGTTCATACACACAGGATGCAAAAAGGCTATGCAGGATCTTGCTGGCATAAAGAAAATGCCTGTAAATGTCCATAAACTGCTTCAGTTTACATGTGCTCAAATGTTTAAAACGTTCACATCTATAAAAACGTTCTTCCATTATTACAACTGTTTTTAATCCCAGCACGTACATGCATTTACATGTGTATATTATGCAAAAATGCCACGGGTGCAGAATGTTCGTTTTGATTTTCTGCAGCTGAATACAGCTGCTCTCTCTCTCTCTCTCCTCACAGGACTCAGAGGCAGTAGCTGGTGCCATTGGCTTCTGCAATTAAAACCTGTGATGAGAAAGGATGGAGCGGGGCTGATCTGAGCTGCACTGTGTCTATATACGCACACAGCCCCGCTCATGATTAAGCACGTACAAGTGCCCCCGCCCCCCCAGCAAGCAGCTTGATATGGGGGCACTCGGAAGGCCGGAGAAGCCAAGAGCACCAGCGGGGGATGCCAGAAGAGGAATAAAGTGACTGCTTTGTGCAATACCATTGCAAAAATAGGCAAGTATAACATTTTTTTCCTAAAATAAAAACAACACACACACACACACACACACACACTTTACAATCATTTTAAGCTAAACCTTGTTTCCTTTTTTTTTTTTTTGAAAGTTTGCTATAGATGGATTGAAATTTGGCTGGTTCAGCAGAGGCCAGACGAATTTCGATCCCTCTATGGTCATTCTTGATTTATACAAATACTAATACTTGAAGATACTAAATGTAAATTAAAATAAAAAAAAAAAAAAAAAAAAAAAAAAAAAAAAAAAAAAAAAAAACCACACACATACAAAAACATGTTATACTTACCTGCTAAGTGCAATGATTCTGCACAGTAGTCCTGATCTTCCTCACAAGTCACCCACCAGCGCTTCGCTTCAGGCTCCTTCCCCTCTGCTGAGAGCCCCCATTGCAAGCTATGAGCTATGGGGGCACTTGAGGGATCTTTTTTTTTTTTTTTTAACTTTATAAATATTTATTGATTTTCCAACATACAAAATATACAGCCTTATTCTCTTAAAACCATAGAAACACTAACACTTTTAAATATGTTCCTCTTACTCCCATTTTATCCCTACCCTCCCAAACACCCCACCCTAAAACTCCCATCTATCTATCCCCCCTCCCCCACCACTCCCTGCATTTATCTATCTCCCTCACATAAGAGTAAAAAGGTATACTGTAAGCATTTTTACCCTATACCTCCATATATACCATGTTCAATTTAAATGCTTCCCATTTGTTCCATCTCTCATAATATCTCCCCATCATATCTTCGTTCATATGGTAAAGTTGCTCCACCCTACGTATACTATCTACTCTGTCAACCCAGTCCTCTACTCTCAGCACCACTTGAGGGATCTTGTTCCGGAGTCCTGCTCTGTGCTCCCACACTCCATTCTCACTGGCTGTGATTGATCGCTCAGTGCACAGAGACGCTGTAACAAGCAGATCCAAGGTGCTGAGTACCATGTGATAGCTGTGATGACCAACCATATGCTATTGTTTACAGTGTTACATACAGCAGGGGAAGAAGAGAGACTAAGTACTTCTCAAGGAAAGAAGAATGATCAGCTGCTGCTTTCATTCCCTTTCACTGAACCTTTACATGCCCCCCTCCTCTCCTACACATACCATATCCATGCTCTCTAGTGACCGGTTATTTAACCATTCCTTCCCCATTATCCTGCACTTCTGAATATTACCCTTGTATCTCCATCCTGCCACTGTATGCGACTAGTACACCAACCCCTTCACTTCCCCTTCCTCCGCTGTGTATGACCTGTACATTTAACCTTGCACTCCAGGAATTCAGCAATTTTGCCAAAATGTGCTGGCTTAAACTATGAAGTTAAATCCAACAGTGTGCATGTAACTCATGGCCATCTCTCTTTAAGTAGATCTCCAGCATTTAGTGAATTTGAAAAAATGGTTCATTTCGACCAAACTGGTGCAAGCCATCTATTACCTTCACTAACAGATGCAGAGGCTGTGAGTACTTTATAAACTGGATGTAGTCTCAGCTGAAGACACTATATAGTGCTGTGTTCTGGTAGCGGGCTAGGAACTTCCCATCCCACTCCCAGAACAAAATCTGTAAGTACCATCATTTTTCACCATTTCATGGGTGTATGCAGTTTTTTGGCCTGACACATTTGGTATCTATTTACTCTACACCAACTCACCTTTATTGTACAAAAATTAGTGAGATTAGGGTATTTTGTTTTCTGAAAATACATCAATCAGCCATAACATTAAGACCACTGACAGGTGAACATTAATTTTCCTTGGGCTAATCATATTAGCCTACTATTGGGTCAGCTCCACCCCTCTGACCCCACAGGACAACCCCCTGCCAAAATAAAAGGAGGGACTCCCTTCAACTCAATGTTCCTTTTTGTCCACGCTCCAGGATAACTGTTCCTGCTGTTCTAGATTTGGATTCTAGGAAGATAAAATATTCGCTATCTTTCAGTCTGATCCAGCCTCTCCAGGTAGAAGACACTTTGGTCCATAGCCGAAGTGCACTGGCGCGATTGGGGCTGCCTAAATGGCATGCTGTGAGGATTCCTGTGTTTGTGGTGGTTGAGGATTCCATTCCTGGGAACTGTCCACACAGTTCTGCCCTTCCCTATAATGGTGCGGGATCAGCTTTCAGCAGCATGACATCACTTCAGCTGGGGCGGCGTAATGCTTCCTAGGTTACAGGGCGCCAGAGGAGGTTCCACCCTCTGGAGGGTGGCTTCTTCTCCTTAAAAAAAAAAACAAAACAAGTCTGGGTACCGAGGAGGCAGAGGTGTTAGGGGACTGGTGTTTTTCTGCAGCTAACCACAAGTAACAAAGGAAACTGCAGGAGTTGGGTAGGTGAAAAATTTTTTTCATTTTTTGACCAAATTTTTATTAAAGATTGAGAAATCAATGAGTCATCCAAGATTGGAAGTAAAGGCATGAGGACTGGACTCCAGATAGGGGAGATGCAGGTCTGCTACAAAGAAAAAAAAAAAAAAAAAAAAAAAAAAAAAGGGCTGTATGCTTGCCTGTAGGGAAAAAGACTGGAAGGGAAGAAAAAGTAAGGCTAAGACAAGTTGCATTCCTTCTCCAGCTTCTTCCAGTTTTTAGGTAAGATAGAAAATGTTCTTCAGATTTCTGCAGCGGTGATGGTTACAGTTCCCGTTCTTCCTCACAATGTTATTTAAGATCTTCCAGGCATTCTTCCCCAAAGCTGGCTGCAGAGACTTGCTGAGCATGCGGTGCTTCCACCATGCCTGAGAAGTTGGTTTGTGACAGCGGTTTTAAAGAAGTGGCCCATGATAATCTGGCAGAATTGCAGCAGGTTAAAAAGTATATGTGCCAAGCAGTGACGAAGTGTCTGAAAAAGGTCTCAGCAAAGTCAGAAAGTTCCAGGTCAGGTAGTGTGACTCTTATTTAGATTTTTCCTTGGTTCCCCTCTTTTCAGAACTTTAGTAAAAAACAGGCTATTTCTCAGGAGGAGGATCCATCGGAACCTCCACAGAAGTTGAGGAAGTACGTCCCTAATATGAAGAACATTTTGCCGACACTAGAGAGAAGAATGGTCTAGACCAGACACAAAAGTAAGCCTCCAAAACAAGATGTCAAAACTATCCTTTCTGATCAGAGGATTCTGTCACATTGATCACGAGTGACACAGACTGGCACAACATCACATGGATGGACTTGGATGATTCTGTGGCCCACCAAGATAATCTCAAGATTAGATGCAGAATTGAAAAAGATCTACCTCACAGCTGAAGCAGCTTGTAATCCTGCAGTAGCCTTAATATCAATAGCCAGAGCTATGAGGGCCTAGGTGTTATCAGTACAGGAAATGGAGGATTGGCAGGACTTGTTCCTTTCCACAACGGGGGAACTCAAGCTGGCAGCAGATTTTGTAGCAGAGGCAGCAGTGGACCTCATGCAGTTGTCAGAGTGATCACTCGTTCAGTACTCTCATTTAGTGGCAGCTAGTGATGGGCCAAACACCCCCGTGTTCACTTCATGGTCGAACATTCAAACCTATTGACCACGAACTTAATGCAAGTCTATGAGTCTCAAACTTGTAAATTCAAAAGTGCCCATTTTGAAGGCTTATATGCAAGTTACTCACCATGAAAGGGTATGGGGACTAGGGGTACTGCCCTGAGGGACATGAATCAGGAAAACTACCATTTTAAAGGGCGAGTAATTTTTCACTGCAAATAAAAAAAAAAAAAAAAAAAAAAAAAAGAGGAAAAATTCCTTTAACCGATTCCCAACTGCCCTATAGCAGAAGTACAGCTACAGGGCGGCTGGGATACACAAAATCGCACATAAATACATGTGACACGCTCCCTACCCACGCCGCTATTGGCTCCTTAGCATGTCAATCAACGGATCTTGGCCAGGACTTGGTGATAGTCGGCGGAGCTGACAGGGGAGAGGTCTATATGTAAACTACACAGATCTCTCCCCTGTCAGCATGAACAGGTTGCTTTGTATTGCTCTGCACAACAGATGTTTACCCCTTCCTGCTTAGTGTCATTAGTACAAGGTCAGTGCTTTTTTATTAGCACTGACCACTGTATTAGTGTCACTGGGGATGCCAGTGGCAGTTGGCTAGCAAGGGGAAAGGGCAGCATCAGGGTGCCCCCTTATTTAAAGGAGTACCCTGATGCTAATGAGACCCCCTGCCCGCAGACCCCCACAACCACCAGGAAATGATTGTGGGGAAGAGGCCCTGGTCGAGTCCCCTTCACCATGCCAGGCCTCTGCTCGGATCAAGGGTCTGGTAGGAATTTAGGGAGGACCCAAAACTTCCCCCCCTATTTTTTTGGGGTGGGGTTCCTCTTAAAAGTCCCACCA